CTGTTTCTGAACTCTCTATCCTGTTCTATCAGTCTATTTGCCATCCTTATGCTAATACTATACTGTCTTAATTGTAAAACTATAGTTTACAATAAATGTTGTTATCTTGTAGAGCAAGTTCTCCCAATATCCTGGTAATTTTTGGACCATTAAAATTTCCATATAAAATCTCAATCTGCTTCTCAAATTCCACAAAAAGCAAAACAAACAACAAAAACTAGTTGGTGAAATTTTGATTGAGATTGCATGCAATTTATAAATTAATTTGGGGAGAACTGTCATCTTTACTGTATTGAGTCTTCCAATCTATGAACTCAGTATCTCTCCACTTACTTAGGTCTTCCTTAATGTCATCCAGTAATGTTTTACAATTACCTACGTAGAATGTGAACAGTAGCACAGAGGCCATACCTCTTAAATTATGCATACCTGTTTAAAATTGTTGTTTTCCTGGTGAACAGAACAGTTCACTATTATGAAAGATTTTACCTCTAGTAATGCTTTTTGGCTGCTATCGATACAGACGTATTACTGTATTAGTTTTCAATTACTGATGTAACAAATTACCACAAACTTAGTGGCTTAAAAAACAATACAAATTTATTATCTTATAGTTCTGTAGATCAGCAGTCCAGTACAGGACTCACTGGGCTAAAATCAAGATGTTGGCAGGGCTGCATTCCTTTCTGAAGGCTCTAGGGAAGAACCTATTTCCTTGTGTTTTCCTGATTCTGGAAGCCCCCTTCCTCCATCTTCAAAGCCAAAAACACTGCATCTCACTCTGACTTTCTTCTGTAGTCACACTGCCTTCTGGCTGACTGATTCTTCCTCCACCTCCTTTTTATGATTACAGAGGACCCACCCAGATAATCCAAGATGATCTCTTCACCTCAGGGTCCCTGATTTAATCACACCTACAAAATCCCTTTTGTCAAGGAAGGCAACTTCTATGGTCTGAATGTTTATGACCCCCTCAAAATTCATATGTTGAAATCAATGGGTAGTGCCCAAATAGAAAAAGCCCTAGAAAACTTACTTGATTAGTCTCAGCCCTAGGACTGGCATTAGCATTTACCTTCAGAGAAATCCTGGCTTTTGCTTTTACTAACTGATCACTGTTCTGGTTTCAATTTACTATTCTTTACCATCCCCAACACAAGCCCTCACTCCACTTCTGATCCACACTTTGGAGATGCCCTTTACTTTCCTGCAAAGTCAGCAATGGTTTAAAAAGAATGTTTATCATTTTTCAAGTCTTTGGGGTTTTCCCTCCCTCCTTCCCTTTCTTTTGGTAATGGAATGCGGTAGGCTGAATAATAGCCCCCAAATATGTCCATGCTCTAATCCCCAGACTGTTACTTATAAGGTAAAGGAGACTGGCAGATGAGATTAAGTCAAGGATTTTAAGATGGGGAGAGTATCCCTGACCATCAGGCTGGGCCCAATGTAATTGCAAAAGTTGTTATAAGAGAGAAGCAGGAGAATTAAAATCAGAGAAGGTATTCCAACAACAGAATCAGAGACTGGAGAGACTGGAGAGATGTGACTGTGAGCCAAGGAATGCCAGCAACTTCTAGAAGCTGGAAGAGGTAAAGAATGGATTCTCCCTTGGAGCTTCCAGAAGGAACCAGCCCTGCCAACACCTTGACTTTATCCCTGAAAGAATCATTTTAGACTTCTGATCTACAGAACTTTAAGAGAATAAATTCCATGATGTTTCAAGCCACTAACTCGTGATAATTTTTTACAGCAGCAATAGGAAACTAATAAATGGGAGTTGATTTTTCTTTTCAGATAATACTTTCAACCTATAACTATTTAAGAACCTGATTCATTACCATGTCTTAGTTCAAATTTAAATTCCTCAGTCCAGCAATCAAGTCCCAACTATTTATTTAGACTTATTTTTATCCCTTCACCCTTGTTAGCCTTCTGTAGACACATGGCTGTGTCCTCTTACATTTTTTACCTTTTATCTTCTCTCACTTTAATGACTTTCAACCTTTTCATAACACATCCCTATGATTATGTTTGAGACATGCCTTCGGGAAGCTTTTCCTGACTTCTCTCCTCACAACAATACTGCTTTGTAGTCCTCAGAAATAATGTTTATTTAGACCACTCTAACCTGCTTAACATTCTCAATTATTCTTTGAATGTAGCAATTCTCCCAATACTCGGCTTGGAGTAAGATACTTGGAGGCATATAATATGCATTCAGTATCTGTTGTTTTTATCTGCTGTATTAGTTTTCTGTTGCTGCAGTAACAAATTACCACAAATTGGGTGGCTTAAGACAAATTTGTTCTCTCACAATTCTCTAAGTCTGAGATCAAGGTATTGCAAGGCAAGTCTGTACTGCCTCTGGAGGCTCTAAAGGAGAATCCATTCTTTGCACCTTTCAGATTCTGGTGGCTGTCAACATACCTCGATTTGTGGTTCATCACTCCAATCTCTGCCTCTGTGGTCACACTGCCTCCGTGGTCACACTGCCTCCTCCTCTTCCTGTGTGACTCTTTTTCTCTGTGTGTCTATTCTACAAGGATAAGTGATTCCATTTAGGGCCCACTGGATAATCCAAGATTATCTTCTCATCTTAAGATCTTTAATTTAAATGTATTTTCCAAATACGGTAACATTCACAGATATTTGACATCAATGAGGGGGGGCATTTTTCAGCCTACCATACCTGCCCAACATCTATTCTCTTCTTCTGATAACAACTCCCTTATTACTTCTGGGGGCACTATATCCCCCAAATGCGGGGGATGTATAAACTCAATTTATATAGTTTGGGTGAAGCCTCCCTCTTCCTGCTATGTGTATATGACAAAGACCTGGCCAGTCAGCATATTCTATCCCCTTTGGCTGCAATGATTGGCTCAGTGATGGGCATGTGACTCAAACTAAAGAGATTACTTTCCAGGGCTTTTATTGGAACAAATGGGATAGAGCTGTGGTTTGTTGTTGTTGTTCTGGGACTGCTAGATTAAGCAAAAGAAATACAGTGACTCCCTTGCTGGGGAGAGTAATGAGAAAACCCACAAAATTGAAGGAAAAGCATCAAGTACCAGACCTCAGGGACTGGAATCAAGACCCAAAGCCCTCAAAACACAGAGTTCCTCGTGTTTGCTTGGTTTCTCCTCTCCCCACATGGAAGGGAAGGTGACTGTCTGGAGCCAGGAGCGCAACCTGTTATTTTTAATAATCCTGACAAAAAGATGAACGCTACACCCCAGCATCCTCATATCAATTTCACAGAAGAACTCTAATCAGCTCTGCTTGTGTCATGATAGTCCTAAGGCTTGAAATAATTACTTTTGCTAGAGAAATCATGCTTGATCCAGACAGAATCATGTTGCTGGCAATGTGTCAGGCAATGAAGGGGAAAAACACAAACACAAGCAACTCAAACCACTACTACAAGAAAATACCACTATTCTTATGAAACTTGTGGTCTATTGGAGAGAGAAGTCACACGAGTAAATATAAAATTACTGTGGCCTGTGTCATGAGAGGAAGTACGTGGAGACAAGGTGAATGACTCATTCCAGAAGTTTAGGGAAAGTGATGGCAAACTTAGATCAGAAGGAGGAAGGTAGGGATGGAGATTCTAGGCAGAGAGAACAACAGGCTCAAAGCCCCTGTGGCAGAAAGGCTCATCACTCATTGGAAGAACTAAGATAAAGGTAGTATGTCTAGGGAGAGCATGGTGTGACGTGAGACTGAAGAAGCAGGTAGGAGTTAAGACCATGCACATTATTGTGGGTCACATTAAATATTTTATACTTTATGATAAGTGCCATTAAAAGCCATTTAAATGTCATAAGAGAGTGGTGGGGAAGGTAGTAGACATGAACAAGTTTGGATTTGGAAAAGATCACTGTGACTATACTGGAGAGAACAGACTGGAGTCTAAGTGACTGCAAGAAGATACGTTGACTTTTAAATTGATTTCCGACAGAGCTTTATGCATTCCTGCCTCCTACTTTCCCACTAAGCAGGTTATATTGGGAAAAATATCAGTTAAATGAATGAAAGAAGCTTTTAGATAGTGATTATCTGCTCTGCAAAATGACTCACTTCTATATTTCCTTTGCAAAATTTTTTCCCTCTGATCACAGTCTGCAATGTGAGTACACCAACTTGCTCTTTAAAGAAGTCAGGAAAACCAGGCAACAGGATCTCTACACAATCTGTGGGGCTGTAAGGATGGGACACTGACGACCGTTTAGTTGTTACCTCTCAATCTTTAGATGTCTCATGGCTCTAAATACCATCACCGCCCTGATGGCTGTTAAATTTATACCTCTAGTCCACACTTCTTCCTGGAACCTCAGTGTCTATATCTGTCTACTCAACCTCTCCACTTGAATGTCTAATAGACGTCAAGCTCAGCAAGTAAAAGATAAAATCTCAGATTTCTGCCTTCAAAATAGCTTCTTCTACAACTCAATTATTCCAAGCTACTCATAATGTCTTTTACCTCACACTCCACAGCTAACATATCAACAAATCTTATCAGCGCTACTTCTAAAATATGTCCAGAATTCAATTCAGTTTTCATCACCTCAATTGCGACCACTCTGGCCCAAACCACTACTCGCTACGGCTTGGATTACTGAAACAACTTCCTGATAACACTCTTCACCAACTAACACAGTTATTTTCACCTGGCTCCCTCTATAACGTCTGGGAGACCGAGGACTTGTCTTTCACTTAGTGCCATGAACCCCAGTGCAATCTCGCAGACGCTCCATAAAATAAATACTTACTGGAAAGAATAAATAAGTATTGTATACCACCACATGTACAGTAATTAATTTAAAAAGAGATTTGGGCATGAGAAAATTGACGGTTAGGAGACTTCTAATACAAACCAAAAACCGCTAGAACAAGCAGTGAATGGAAAGTGGGGTCAGCTGGGTGAAGCAGGTTCCACAAGCTGTCCCGCTTTCCTTAAGCAGACATGTTTTCCATATAAGCCAACATCCCTCTACCTTGGAATACTGTGGGTGGAAAGCTTCTCGCTCCACTCGACACCTCACCCTTAGGCGGCAGCCTAATCGTCTCATCCTCGTCCTGCTTCGACGACGGGCTTCGGCGACGGGCGAGCCCACGCAGCTTCGGGCTGGAAGACGCATTTGGGCATCCTCCTGGCCCTCAAGAATGACACTGGATTCTAGGCCACACGGGCAACTTTAATCGGATAGGAAAAGGGACATACTTCTCGTTGACGTTCTCCACTGTACAAGTAACTTAAAATCAAAAGGCAGGGAATAAACCTTCAGAAACAGAATCTTCAACCCGGCTAGCGGTTAAGATAAAGGGCAGTTCCCGCCGGCCTCTAGGGATGATGGGAAGCGAAATCAGCGTCAATTGCCCTGACCCAAAATGGCAGGTTACTCGAACCGCGTGTAAAGGGGTGAAGATACGACCACTGGGAGAAGTCAAGATGAGAAGGGAAAATGAAAGCATCATTTTATTAATCCCACACAGAGGCGGAAATTATAGGAGAGAGAATAACCAGGGACGACAAAACATCCAGACGGCAGAAACAAGTGGCCTGTCGAATAAGGCCAAACACAACATTGACCTAATCCAAGATGGCGCCGGAGGTTATTACCGGGAGCGCAAAAGCGGCGGTGATTACCCTGTTCCACGATGGCGGTGGCGACTGAGGCGAGTGGAGGGGCGGGAGGGCCGGGAGCGTCTTTGCCCTCCTCCAAGATGGCGGCAGCCGTGGGCGCTGTCCCTGGCTCCGCCCCGCGGCCTCGGCCCCGCCTCTCCCTTGTCCTTCCCTCCACCCCGCTCGCAGTGGCCAGTCTGGGCGGAGGTGTTCGCGCGAGGAGAGCGTGCTCCCGGCGTTTGATATGGCGGCAGCCGCGGCGACTGCAGCGACGAAAGGGAATGGGGGCGGCGGGGCCCGGGCCGGGGCCGGCGAAGCCAGCGGCTCACGAAAGAAAAAGGGCCCGGGGCCTCTGGCCACGGCGTACCTGGTCATCTACAATGTGGTGATGACCGCGGGGTGAGGCTGGGGCTCGGGAAGGCGGGGAGAGAGTCTGGCCGGGGAGGGGGCTCTGCGGCAGGAGGAGCGGCCCGGCTGGCCCGCCGCGCGCAGCGCAGCCCCGGTGGCGGGAGTCTGGGCCCCGGCACCTGGGCTCCGGGGGCAGTCGAGGCTGAATCCGCCTGGGTGCTTGCTGGGGGCCGAGCAAGTTCCCAGGTACCGAGCTGGAGTTCCAGTGCTCCAAGGGGCTCGGGGGAGGCTGCCCAGGCGCTGGTCCGGAGGGCCTTGGGAGGACGTATGGGCTGGCCACACGTCCATGTCTGGGGGGCGTTGTGCCGGGCGATCCTGCAGCGCTGAGAGCCCAGGCGGCAAGGCACGAATGGCGAGCTGTTCTCCCCAAAGGGAGTGGAGGGAGCTGTGTCTGCAGAGTTGACCATTTATTTCGGCGGCTGTTTTCAAAATCCAGGACGAGCTTTAATGGGAAAGGTAGTGGAACAGCGTTCAAAGTTTTTGCCCAGTGACATGAGCAGTCCTGTGCTTTAGGTGAGTTTAGACTTCGTAGGATGGATTGAGGTGGGGAAGACACTAGAGATGGAAGGCAGAGTTACTGGGGAGAAGCGGAATAGACCCTGGAAACAGATTTTACCTCCTCTTGTTTCTCCTTTATTTCAGTCCATCCCTTGTCGTAGCGAGTTTTTAGTTCTAGTTATGACACTAACTGTGTGACCTTGGGTAAATCATTTTATTTCTCTAGACCTCCGTTTTTTCATCTGTAAAAACTAAAGAGTTGAGCTAGGTGATCTCCAAGATTCCTCTAATTCTCTGACCCCATGATTTTTGATGACAAGGATCACAGGGTCAGCCTGTTATATATTTTTAAATTTTATAAATTTGTAAAAAAAAAAATTCTTAACATTTTATTATGAAAATTTTCAAACATATAGAAAAGTTGAAAGAACTGTATAATGAACATCCAGTTTTATTTATTTTTAAAATAGATAATACATTGGCCAGGTGCAAAATTGAAAATGTATGCACGGGCATACAGTGAAAATCTTCCCTCTACCTTCCCTTCCACCCAGATTTCCTCCCTGGAAGGCAGATAATTTTGTTTATGTTTCAGATACTGATACAAGCAAATATGTGTACATGGGTATTTTTAAAATATGAATGCTAATGATTAGCATTTCAGCACCTTGCTTTTTTCACACACACACACACACACACACACAAACACATCTTGAGAGGATCATAGGCTTTATGGCTAGTATTAGAAATAGCCAGTATTGAAACCTAGGCTCAGAGAAGTTGTGACTTGCTTGACTTGAGGTCACAGAACTTGTTAGTAGTAGTTCTGGGTTTAGAAGCCATATTACAGATGCACGTTTTCTTTATCACATAAATGGTCACAGAATGATTTTAAAAGAATATTCATCAGTGCATATGTGTGTATTTATATATAAAAATTCTTGTCATCTTAGCAAGGGCTTTGATGAGAGCATTGTGCTGAAGAGGGATTTTAAGATACATTGGGGAAGACGAAAAGAAGCCTTTATTCCTGAACCATGAACATGGAGAATGGGGTGGAGGGTAAGGAGTGGTATCTTAAACCAGAAGAAAAGTTGGGGATATGAGAGTAAAGTAAGCTTTTTTTCTAGGCTACTGAAAATGCTGAACCAGTTACACCATTAAGGAATTCATTTCTTTTTTTTTTTTACAAACTCTTGTTCGATGTATTTGTATGATAGTTTCTAGAAATAACATAGACCACATACCCCACTGCCTAGTTAAGATTTTACACATAAATAAATCTGTTAGCACCTTCAAGGAGACACACCTTAATAATGATATACCTCATTTCATTATGGAACTTAACAAATAAAAAACTACAAGGCCTGAGAAATTTATTTTGGAGGACAGTAGAACAGAAATGTAGAGTTCAGAGCCATATGCCTAAGTGCTTCCCTGTTTTGTATTGATCTGGCTTTCTTTACTAAATTGATTTTGGGAATCTCAGCTTAAAAACCTTTTATTCTTTTTAAAAAACAAACCATTTATTCATATGTCATTTTCAGTCTTTTAAAAGAATAGATTTTAAGGTAGGGGTATGTTCAATGAGATACTTCTATAAATAGTTTAAAACATCTCTCCACCCTGTTGTTATTACAGACCCTTTAACTGCACAGGGCATTTAAAATTTTCCTTTAATAGTTTTTTTCTCTTGTCTTGGACTTCCTGGCACCTAATTTAGCTGCTCAAGGACCAATTTAGCTTATTTCCCTCCTTTTGGTCTTGTTCTCAACGGGCAAGGTTGCCAAAAAGCCGAGCTCCAGATGGGTGAGGTGCCACTGTGCTTTTGCAAAAAGCACTCTTCGTAGGGTGCTGCTGGAGGTGCAACATTTCTGTGCATTACATACAGCTTAGCGTTTGAGAGTGATAATCAATAAACCTAGGACACAGATCTTGAGGTCACCTTTAGTAATATCTATGATTGCCACATCTTTCTATTATAATCCTACTTACTTTTTTTTTTTCTTCTGATTGCTCTTTTTCTTAGGTGGCTCGTTATAGCTGTTGGTCTGGTCAGAGCATACCTGGCTAAGGGTAGCTATCATAGCCTTTATTATTCCATTGAAAAGCCTTTGAAATTCTTCCAAACTGGAGCCTTATTGGAGGTGGGTCCTGAGATTTGTTGTTGATTTCTGTTGTTTTAAAATTAAAAACAAGCTACTAAATTATATTGAAGTAGCCATGTTTCTGCTGGATTTGCTTTAAATGCTGAAAACTTGCCTCGTAGAACGCCATGTATAATGTTGATACCTGGTTTATCTTTTTGACATTCTACATAAATAAGATCTCATTTAACTTGTATTACCTGGAATATATTTTACATTTAACTTTTATTGGCAGTCAAAGGAAACAAGCTTATATTAGGATTTTAAAAAATTCTAGGGACTTCCCAGGGAAGTGTTAGCAAACTCAGATACTTACAGGGACCGGGCATATAATGGGAACAGTGAAGTTGGTGAGTGTAGGATGTCAGGAGTGATAGATATAAGAAATAGTAGAGCCTGTTTAAAATCCTCCAAAAACCTTTTTAAACAATAGTTTATTAATTTCCCTGCATTAAGGGTAATATATATATCAAGTCCTGTCTTCTGGGGTAAGTATATGATAGGATTTTTGACTTGCAATTCAAATTATTTTAAGCAAAAGGAAATTTATTGGCTTCTGTAGTTGATAAAGATAATAGGGTTAACTTACAAAATCAAAGGAACCAGCTTGGGAATGAGAACGAAGGATTTGATGTTGCAGCACTCTCTTTCCATCTCTCATCACTGCTTCTCTCTATTTCTCTTTGAATATTAGTCTTAGGCTCTCCTACTGCAGATTGCCTTCTCCACCTGGTGGGAGAGAGCTTATTTTTTCAGCATTAGGGAAGGATTCTGGGTGGTCTTACGTAGACCAATCACTCTTGCCAGTGATGTGAAATACTTGATTAGTCAGATCTAGGACACATGCCCATACTTCTGGCCAAGGGACTGTAGACTTCGTTAATGGAAAAAGGGGAATGAGGTAGCTTTGGGCACACACCATAGCTGCCATAGTTCATTATGGTGAAAAATTTTCAGGTTGCAGAGAAGATCTGATATTCAGTTTCATTTTACCTAGCCTTTAGGCCAAGCCCATCATGACATTTGGAAGGCTGTTTAAGAAAAGACCATTTATCTCCATGAAATGAGATGTTACCTCAACCTCTCACCCTCTTTTTTTTTTTTAAATTAGTTTATTTACTTATATTTGGCTGCGTTGGGTCTTCGTTGCTGCGCGCAGGCTGGGGGCTACTCTTCGTTGTGATGTGTGGCCTTATCATCACAGTGGCTTCTCTTGTTGAGGAGCACGGGCTCTAGGATGCATGGGCTTCAGTAGTTGCAGCATGTGGGCTTCAGTATTTGCAGCATGCGGGCTCAGTAGTTGTGGCTCACAGACTCTAGAGCGCGGGCTCTGTAGTTGTGGCACACGAGCTTAGTTGCTCCACGGCATGTGGGATCTTCCAGGACCAGGGCTCGAACCTGTGTCCCCTGCATTGGCAGGTGGATTCTTAACCACTGCGCCACCAGGGAAGCCCTCACCCTCATTTCTGAAAGCAGAAAGTTGTAGGTTTTGGGTTTTTTTCTCCCAGAAAGCAGAGAGATTTCAATACTGTCCATACTTATATGTTTAAGTTAGATGGTATGATGAAATGAACGTACAGCTGGAGGCTGAGTGCCCTTATTCTAAGCATGCTGGTTTTACCAACTTACTTTGTGAATTTGGGCGAGTCATTTATCTCTTGTC